TACAGATTAATGTCCAGTAATAGTAGTGAGGTACACCTAAGAACAGTTCATTGCATTCGTCTTTTATAATGCTGTGTTACGACCCAAAACCGAGGCTGATGGGAAGATCAACATTAAGATTGAAATAGTGAATCACTGTCAAACATTTGAGGAATATTATTGGTTTTTCATAGAAACAATAGTCCAGTTCATATGATTTTGGCTCCATGCTGTCTGCAAGTTCCTACCTGTAGCAGCGTGGATGTTAAATTAATTGGTGACACCCAGTTGATTGCGGGCCCCAGTAAACAAATCATCTGAGTATTTACTTTTATGTATTCTTGATATATATATTCTTATTTCTCTTCATACCGTGTACAAATTGTAGGATTCCACATACTGATTTGGAAGCAAAAACTAATTATCTTTCTAATTGGGTGGATTCTCATATAAGTGATGGAGAATTTGTGCTGAGGAAACCAGTTCTTTTCACAGAAGTCGGCTCAAGATGGGATGAGGATGGGAAAGGAGTGCATGAGAGAGATGTTTTGCTGAAAGTAGTGTACGATAAAATTTATGAATCCGCAAAGAAGAGGCAGGCTGGTGCTGGTGCCTTGATCTGGCAGTTGTTAGTTGAAGATGTGGATAGATACAGTGATCAGTTTTCTTTCATACCACAGGATTCTCCTTCTACCTATAAACTGATAGAAGAACAGTCATGTAGGCTTCAAAGACTTTCTGCAGGAAACAACAAAGCAAGAAAGCCTGAATGAGTGGATCCTGTTGCTTGGGTCGCTTGTGAATGATAGGAAACCAAATAAAGCAAATGGTAGTGTTTTAGTTGGAAGGCAGTGTTAAGAGTTGATACAATTCTCGTAAGGCTCAAACGATACGTGCTCGAAATGGAAGAATGAAAAGAAAAGATAAAGAAGTGTGAAACTTATTCAGGTTTAATCAATTCTATTCAAATTCAAGGCCAGAAGGTTTGAACATATCGAATATACATTGCTGGCATGGGCACTTGTGTGATTGACTGAGTTCCCCTGGGAAATGCTCTTTGAATGATGTAACTTGCCCTGAGACTTTATGCATTTTGTAGTTGTTGTATTGTATCAGAACATGTAAATTGATTCATTCCAAAAATGTATACTTCAATTTTTTTGCAATCTGCTCCATGATTGAACTATCTCTACACTGCCACAAGGTTAATGCTTAATCGTTGTCCGTGATGGAAATGTCTTCCGGTTAAGACCATGGATGACGTTCGTCATGGTTTATTTTTATCTTGTATTCATTCATCGAGAGACTTGTTAGGCTACAGGCTGCACAATTCAACTCTAAAAATTATTGGTTTTTCTTCTTTCATGAGCAATACTGAACTCTAATATTACAACCATCAGCTAATAGAAATACAGAGCAGATCACACCAAAACACTTCTCAGCAAATATATTTGTCTATACTTTCAAAATCTGCTTTCATAGTAGCAAAATGTTGGCAGCATCCTTGAATAGATGCCTATCTATGCCATTGCCACGCAGCTGCATTTGCATCGAGACATGCATTTCTTGCAATCTGAAAGAGTTGGCTTCCCACCATCGCAATCACACCTAGTGATACACTTGGACCTTGAGCTACCACCCCACAAGCACCGTGCCATGCAGTGCAGAATTGGCACGCAAGTTGGACAACCATACTTCATCTGATCAAGAACACAGTCTTTGCATCCACTGCCGTCCGAGGGCTTGGTTCCTCCTGATCCCTTTGTTCCATTCCCACCCGAAGAGCAGCTGGCCCGTGCTGGTGAAATCATAAAAGAAAGCATGAGTAACATCATCAACATGACAGGATATGCAAATCCCTTCTTCTCCTCCATCTCTTCAAAACAAAAAGACTAGTCCTTGCTTGTATTAGCTACAACCCTTTTCGCTTCTTTTATACACTTCTTGGTGATTAACAGCTAAGAGAAATGTTTCCCAGTGTTCACATTGTGACTCGTATATATGAAAGAGATAGACATAAGTGGTGCCATCTATGTTCACATTGTTTTCCAGGTTAAGTGTTCTCATTAACTACGTCATTGAATGTCTGCCGTGTCTTGGTTTGCTCAACGTTTTATCTCGTCGACTGTCTTACTTTATCCTGTCCACAACTGTGGAGAAATTATAAATTCGATTTAATTTATCACACCACTGATATTTTAGACTATCATGGTAAATAATATATTTATTTTTGTATTTTTTTATTAAAAGTAAAATACGATTTTTAGTTTCTTATATTTAGATTAATTCAAACATTTTAAAATAAATAAATTAAGGAGAATTTTAATTTCATTTTCTTTTATGTTTGTATTTATATTATATTAATCTAGATTAATTTAAGATGATACCAAAATTCATTTTATAAAATAAAACTTAATTTAAAACATGTCTTTTAATGAACCAACACAGTTAATATACATAAAACTAAAAAAAGTTGGGAACTCAGTATTTATTCACACTCATTGTACTGAGAATTAATAATTTACAGTGTATTTTTTTGTTTTACTTTTTTTAAAAAAAAATTATCTTTATCAATTATATTTTTTTTAATATTGAGCTGATTAAAATTTTTGATTTATAATTTTTTTCTTTAAAATATTATGGATTACTATAGTGTTTTTCTATATGGTTTTTCTATTTAACTTTTTTATTTTTTAAAATTATATTTGTTAATTTTATTTTTTTAATTTTTAGCTAATTGAGAAATTAGTTTTGTAATTTTTTTCTTTAAAACATTGTTGATTGTTACAGTATTTTTCCACATGGTTTTTTTTTTTAGTTTTCTTCAAAATTATTTTTTTTAATTTTATTTTTTAATATTGAGCATTTTAAGAATTACAGTTATAATATGTAAGGAAAGCATTGTAACTTTTCTGACAAATTACTGTGGATTGCTATAATATTTTTTTCATGTGTTTTTTTTATTTTTTATATTTCTTCTAAGATTATATTTGTTAATTTTATTTTTTAAATATTAAATCGGTTAAGAATTACAATTACAAGTAAATACAAGTAAGGTTAAATTATGTAGAGAAAACGCTGTAACTTTCCTTACAAAATACTATGGATTGCTAAAGTTTTTCCTCACCTGGTTTTTTTCCAGTCTCTTTTATGTTTTTTTTTTGTAATATTTTTTTAAATTATCTTTATCGATTTTATTTTTTAATATTGAATTAGTTAGAATTTAACTTTGTAATAAAACTTAATCATATGGATAGAACATTGTAGCTTTCCTCACAAACACATTGTGGATTGCTATAGTGTCTCTTCATATGATTTTTTTTATATAATTTATTTGAAATTATCTTTATCAATTTTATTTTTTTAATATTGAGATGGTAGAGAATTAGAATTACAAGTAATTACAAATAAGGCTAAATCATATAGAAAAATATTGTAACTTTTATTACAAAACACTGTGAATTGCTATAGTGTTCTCAACATGGTTTTTTTTCTTTTTTTTGTTATATTTTTTTCTAAAATTGTTTCTAACGATTTTATTTTTTTAATATTGAATTGGTTGAGGATTTAACTTTGTAATTTTTTTTTCTTTAAAACACTATGAATTGCTGCAGTTTTTTTCCACTTGATTTTTTTATGATTTATTTTTAAATTATCTTTGTCGATTTTTTTTAATATTAAGTTGATTAGCAATTATAATTATAATAAAACTAAATCATATAGGGAAAGTATAGTTGTTTTCCTCACAAAATACTGGATTGTTACAATATTTTTCTAAATGAATTTTTTATAATTTTTTTAAATTATCTTTTGTCGATTTTATTAGGGAAAGCAATGTAGTTTTCTTCACAAAACATTGTCAATTGCTATAATATTTTTTCTTATGAGTTTTTTTCCTTCCATAATTATCTTTATTGATTTTTTTTAATATTAAGTTGGTGTAAAATTTAGTTTTATATTTTTTTTACTTTTTATTAATAAAAAAACTAAATCATATAACGAAAACACTATATTTTTTCTCACAAAATATTATAAATTACTAAAATTATTTTGTTTAGTCTCTAATTATTTTATCTACTAAAATTATTTTGTTTAGTCTCTAATTCTTTTATCACTAATATAATTTTTTTATTATAAAATATCAGCGCTATCATATATTTAATTTATATTACTTATTAAATAATAATTTATAATTATAATATTATTAAATATTTTTATTTTATAAATTTATAACAGCGCGTAAACATGCCATATCATACCTGCATCCCATTGCAAGTTTGTCGAAGGAATTGATTGACAATGGTCCCTCTAGCACTCCACAATTATTGATGATATTACATTACAGTTCTCATTAATTGCCACATGACGGTTTTGTTGATAAGGGCACGATTAAATGTGTACGAGTTGGCACATCAATTGAGTGTCTTGCACGAGTGTAAATATACTTATTTTTTAAAATTATTTCAGAGATGTTTGTTTTTTATTTTTTATTTTATTTTTTTCTCATAAACAAAATTCATTTTCTATTTGTTTTTTTTTTTTGCATCGAAGGCAACCTTAAAGCACATTTGATGATTATTTTTAGGATACAAAATTTGAAGTAGTTTTCTTTAGTTGTAAAATCTTATTTCAATCTTATTAGGAGTCAAGCATAAAATCTTGAGCCTAAAATCTGATCATGATCCATTGGGCCCTCCATTAATTTGCGTAGTAAATTTCTTGAGAGGAAAGAATGAATGACAAGGAACAAAGTTCAAACTTTAGGCACTATTGTCTGTCTTTATGCCTACATGATGTTTCTGTTGATAGTAATTGTTTGGTATGAGATTTAACTTGTTTTTATTAAAATTTAATTTTTATTTTAAATTAATAATTTTTTTTTTTAGTGTTCTAATCCCAAATCAAACCAGTAAAAAAAAAAAAAGACAATAAAAGGAGACAGAACACCCTTGATGCCTTATCCAATACAAAAAATATATATATAGACAGCTTTCTTCGCTATCTAAAGATAGAGAACTAAAATGGAGGATGAAACCCAGAACTTGTGCAATCCCATTGCTCTCCTCTTGTCTTCACTAGGGTATTCTTATGTCCTGGCCACATACATGACAAAAGGCCTGACAAGGGTCTTATTTCTCCTCCCCACATTTTACCTACTGACCATCTTTCCTTGGTATTTCACATCAAGTCTTCTCAGAGGAGTCTTATCTTTCTTCATCACATGGATCACATCTTTCAAGCTTCTCCTTTTTTGTTTCAACCAAGGACCTCTCGCTGCCTGCAAAAACTACATCGACTTTGTTGCAATTGCCATTTTTCCTCTCAAGATCCAGGAAAATACTCACCTACATTTAACTCTTTCTTTAAGTTTTAAAACTCTATCATCAATCATGGCAAGGTATGAGTTAGTGACACTATTCAACAAGCCGTATCTAGCGACATCTTTACAAGATTTTTGGGGTAGAAGGTGGAACCGGTTGTCTTCAAACATTTTGAGGCAAACAATATATGAACCTACCCAAAATGTTTTGGTGGGTTTCGTCGGAGTTGGCAAAGCAAGGATACTGGCCATGATTACTACCCTTGTGATTTCAGGCATAATGCATGAGCTTATGTTCTACTACATCTCTTGTGGGACGAGACCCACATGGGAGGTCACTTGGTTCTTTGTCTTGCAAGGAATTTCCATGGTTTTCGAGGGAGCATTGAAGTATTTGGCTAGGGTTAAGGGGTGGACACCCGTTCACCCGACAGTTTCAAATGTTTTGACACTTGCGTTTGTGTCATTCACATTTTCTTGCTTTCTTGTACTGCCTGTATAGAGGAGTGGACGAAATGAATGTGGCTTCAGGCCAAAGATTTTACCTTTCAGATAATAGATCACTTGAAACCCTATCAATTGTTCCAAGAGCTACATGCAGGTTTTCCTACTCTCATATTTTACTGTTACCCGCTATAATGTAATGAATATTTTGTTTTTTCTATAAAAAATTACATGCTTCTGAGCTAGAGTTATTTTGATATTTTTACTGGATATTCTAGTGAGGTATTCATCTTATTTTTTTGTGAACAATTAAATAATCAAAATAGCCCCAAAAGTTCAAACAATAAAAATCTTGATCGATGTTGATGTTGGTTCCAATAAAATAATAAATTTATTGATATAAAAAAGTATATGTGGAATTTGGAGATAACATTTATTTCAAAAAATCAATCTACAATTTGGAGATAAAAACAAAAACACGTTTGGTAGTATAATTATTGTTATTTTTTAAATAATTTTTCATGTTTTGTGGAATTTGGAGATAACATTTATTTCAAGAAATCAATCTACCATTGGGAGATAAAAGCATGTTTGGTAGTGTAGGTATCAATATTTTTTACATAATTTTTCATGTTTAAATATATGTTAATATTTTTTATTTTTTAAAAATTATTTTTATTATCAGTATATTAAAACATTTCAAAATATATAAAATATATTAAAATTTAATAAAAAAATTAAATTTTTAAAAAGTATACTTTACATCATATTTTTAAATATGCCCTTAAATTTTTAAAAAATATAATTTACATCACGTTTTTAAATATGCTATAAATATTGATCCATGGATCAATGAAGAAGAGAAATATTCTCCAGTAAACTAGGATCAAATCAAGGGTTTGCAGTTAATTAGCATGAAATGCAATGCTAGTCTCGATAGTTTCAATGCCTTGAAATCTGCAAAGCACTATATTTGTGATTTGGATATGAAATTACCAGCAAGCTTATGGGTCATAGAGAATTAATATAATACAAATGATAATCACTTGCGTAATCGAAATTAGTTACCATTTTTACTGTACTTGTTTCCTCCCTAGGAAAATTGTAACTTCACTTTTGTTTACAAATTCTTTCCAGTATTATGCTTCTCTTTGTCTATAAACAAATGTTTTCTACTTTCTAAAAATAAAAAAAAACAGACAAGGTCAACGTACAGCAAAAAGGTACAGGCAGTGTTATTAAACTTGTAACTATTCTGGGCCAAATTTCATGTTGAACTGGCTTCAAAGTTACCTGGTTAAAATTTTATCTACCCGGTTAAAACTATGGTAAAAGTTGGTTTAATTATTTTTATTTTTTAAAAGATAAAATTGAAGTCATTTTAATTTTTTTTGTAAAAAAAATCTTAAAACAATGTTATTTTTAATAAATCTAAGTTAATTTAAGTTAACATATTTAATTCATGATCCAAATTAAATTATATAACTATAAAAATAAGTAGAGTTGCATCTAACGGTTTTTTTAAAAAAAACTAATTCATCTATATTATATGACCGACTCAGCCTAAATAATGTGAATATTACATATGATAATAAATTAAAAAACCCTATAAAATAGATATCATGGTAAGATTTTAGAAACCCAATCAACTATATTCAATACTTATATTATATTTTTTTTGTTTTTATATTTGATAATTAGTATACTGAGCATTTGTTTTTATTTTATTTAGAAATGTTTTGGCTCTAAAATCTTTGTTAGTGTATTTTTTATTAGATTTTTTTAACTTAACAAAAAAAAAAGCTTGTTTTTAGTTAGGAAAAAAGAGGATGTAACTAGAATTTAATGGTAATATAAGCTATGAAAATTAGATTTAGAGGTGTAAGCTCACCCAAAAATATATAAATATATGAAATAACCATAAAAGATATATTTAATCCCCTCAAATAAAAATAAAACTAAGTGAATCAAATTTATAATTTATAAAATATGAAAATTAAAATTAAATACTATTATTGATTTAAACTCAACCCAACTATTTCCGGTAAGACTGTACTCTGGTTGCAAGTGGGGCAGCTACTCCTCGAAACCATATATTTAATTTCTTACCTGCTAGCTCCATTTCCCTGTACTCGCATTGAATATTGGAGTTAAAGCCAGGACCAACTTTCAGCTAATAATGGATAGAGGAGCTGTGTAGAAGAAAGTTAAAAGGAAATAAATAAATAAACAAAATTGCGAAGACGAAATTCTTTTGTGGCTGGATTTTAAATTACGTTCTTTGATGGTTGAATTTAGAAAATTGGCCAAACTCGAACAAATGAGGCATTCGAGAAGTTTTCTTTCTGCATGAATTGAACTTTATAAGTATCAATATTAAGGCATAACGTTAAAATTTAAGAGTTGATGAGGAGCAATCTAAAAAGATTTGCTTGATGATTAAGAAGGTACCCTTCCTAGTTACGAGATTCAAACCTGACCAAGTACGAGGACCAAAAATGAAGAAAAAAAAAAAGAAGAAGCTAACTTATCGCAACAAAAATTACCTACCAATCTAAACTTTATGATCAATAAAAACATCTCTCAACTAGATAAATGTGCCTTTCACAAAATTCAAGAAAGAAATGGTCTCCATACTTGCCTCAACATCAATCTTCCACCGTACCACGTTGGCATGAACAAACCCCATTACAAGCGGTGCTGCTACCACCCTAGGCAATCCCCATGTGCACTTTATTTCTCTCTTGATACCAATTTCAATAGCCAAGCAAAAACCATGCAAGAGAAAGAAGCAAGCCACCTCCCACAGTGGCTTTTGGAGTCGAATGTGATAGAAAATCAGCTCGTGCATGAGGCCAGAGACCAAAAATCTGCCGATCATCGGGTAATGGAGCCCTCTTTTTTGCAATCCAACGTACAGAAGATGACCGGATTGGATTGTATACAGTTGGATGCAAGATACTAGTGACCATTAGGTTCCTTCTTTTACTCCAGAAGTTTTGCAGTGAGCTCGAGAGGTATGGCTCATCAATTGTGGCTCGAGCTAGGGCTCCAACCATGCCTAAGATTAGTTCTAGACCTATATAAAACATAGAGTAGCAATATGATTTTTGGATGGATATATTCGTCTATGGTATAAATGTAACCAACCTTCAAGGCATAGTTCAGAGGTGATTTAAGGCCTTTTAGTGGGATTTCTCCAGATTGGGTTTCAACATTCACAAGCTTCTCAAGATCTTGACTGTCGGCAACATTTACAAGCTCTTGATCATGAGGTAGTATTATTGGTGGAGGGTCCTGTCGAGTCTTGACAGCGAAGCAAGAAAGACAATGAAACGTGGCAAAGAGAGGGATGACCTCTAAGCAGGATGTTCCTGCATATTGTGAGTCATGACCCATGTGATCATCAAGTTTAGACAGCTCTATACATTCCTTGATATTGCCAACAATATCAGTTTTTTGACTATTTACGGAAGGATCTTTTCCCGAGGCAGAGTCTTTTGGACTCCCATCGTTAAAGGAAAGTAAGATCAATCCAAGTGCCTCATTGATATACCTGGTCACATAAAGCATAGCTAGACGATCCAATATAGACAGACAGGTGTGTATATTAACGGGAAAGGATTCCAAATATTTATCTAATCCGAAGTAATATTACATGCAAAAAAAAAACAATAAACAACAGTCATAACATGTTTGCAGATAACACACCAATCAGCAAATATCTCTTTCTAAATTCTTAATTATAAGTTTTAATAGATGTAGCCACTTTCATTAGCCTTCAGCTTTTCTTGTTTGCAGCCATTCCCATAACTACAGGAGGCAAGGATAATTAATAGCTGGCTATGTATGAACTCGACGGTTTGGTCAACTGAGGGCATGCATGAGACATCAAATCAACTTGAAGAAAACAGAACCGACAAGCCCAGTGAGGGCGAACGTGTGGCAGAAACATAGCAGTTTATACTGTATGTGAGAAGACATGTGACGGCCACTCAAAAGCTATTATACTCGGCCCATAAATTTAAAATGATATAAAAATAGTCAGAACACTGACATTGTTTTGACTATTAAACATAACATTTTAATTTATTTTTTTTAAGTTACAACACTTCCTTTTTTTTTTAAAAAAAAGGAAAAAGTAGAATGGATTTTGACGAAGGTGATTGGATAACAGGTTGACTGACTCAATTTTCTAATGATTTTTCAAAATTTAAATTAGGTTATATGTTAAATATACCAGGTTCAAATTAAATTAATTTGGTGAGCCAAACTATATTCGATCAAACTAGGACAACTAGCTTAACAGCAACTAGTGTCCTTTTCTCCTATGAAGTTTTTTTATTCAAACTTCACCTTAATTTATAGCAAAATTGAACGATAAACGTGAAGGCTAGGGCATTGTGATATTTTCGATCTTTTCATTCAAGTATAATTATCATTTGAGTAGGAGAATGTTTTTTATTCAAGCATTATCTTTTTTTTTGGGTTGAAATTCAAGCATTATCTTTTGATAATGACTATTGTTGAAAATTATTAGATCAACCAGCTGATTTTAGAACGACGTTTGTACATTGCACAGTGGAATCTATTACCAGCCAATTAAAAATATTTTTGGTTCATAAACTAGGTTGATATAAAAATTAGTCATGTGAATGCATGATTGCTGGATGGTTTACTTATTGGACTGATGGTATTTTTGTTACATGCAACATTGAAATTTGATTATGTAAATATATTTAATTTATTAATAAAAATTTATTTATTTTTAATATTTATAAAATATTTTATTAATAAATCTAAAATAAAAATAAAATTCTTAGAAAAAAATATTTTATAAAAAAAATTATAAAATTGTTATAACTATAAGATTCTTATTTTATCAAATTATTGTTTCTGAATATTTTTAATTAATGCTCTATTAAGACTGAATATCAAATAAAATTGTTGAAACTAGCATATATTATATTTTTTGTGAACAAAAAAATTATTCTCATAAATTTTGAAAGATCATAACAGGTTTTGAACATTGTACTTAATTTTTAAATATAAATAATTTTTAAATTGATAATAAATTAATTTTTTTACTCCTATTTTATTTAGAATTATGATTTATATTTGAATCAATTTATTAAGAAACCTAATGGGTTGAATCATTGGTTATAAAATAAAACGGGATAATTA